TCTTCAAAAATTTTCATAACCGTATCCATTTGATTTCCTTCAGCGTTCTTTTTTTCTTTTTTCTGTAATGGTGTGTCAGGTTAGCCCTAATTTCTTACGAGTATGCATTTTTTGGCGGGGGGGTTGGGGGGTTATTTTTTTTTTTATATAACCCTGATTTTGTCTTAAGTTACTTTTTTTTGCATCAAGTGACTTATTATCCATTTTTTTGTGCTGCGTTTTTCATAATCTTCGTTGATCATATTCACAGTAAAATGAGCTTTGTGTCTTCAATCTGAACGTGTCTTGAATTGTCTGCTGATCTTTCTGCTTTCTTGACAAAGGTAGTCAAATGTAACATACATGTATTCAATCCCAGGTGACAATACAGAACTATGTAAAGTCTTTTGTATTCATGATACACTCTCTTTCCTTCTCTTTCCCAAATTTCTTGATTTCCCCCTATCTCTATCGAAATACACAACTTCTTTACCGAATTTCTTGATTTTCCCCCATTTCTATCCAAATGCATAATTTCTATCAAATCCTATATCCATTCTTTTTCTAGTACCTTAAAAATGACAGGCAATACCAATAATTTTTATCTTTATTTCAACCATTTTATATTGATTTTATTTGTAACATTGCAATACAGTCATACCTTGTGAAATCTTGGTTCTTGGTATTGAGCTTAGAACATGTAAAGAAAAATTGGTTGGGACTTTCAACTTAAAGTTACATAGTGAGTCAATATCATGTGTTTCTTTTAAGATAATTGTATCATAAATCTAAAGATTAATGAGAAATATGAATAAGGCGTTTTGAGATCTCAACTGCACGGTAAAGCAAGAAAAGACTGCAGAATGTAAGTGCCGGAAAAAGAAAAGCCGTATCTATGGCGTGGTTGTTAGCGTCAATGTCAAGGTCGTGTGTCTTTTATTTTTAGCGTGAAACTAGTAAACAACATTGAATTGGAGCAATCAAAAGTGTGGAATAAGTTCTGATCATCTTTTTTGAAGATTATATCAAAATTCTCGGTCATCCGACATTTATATCTATGGAATTGACACCATGGTAACGTCTTCAACTTTTCTGCGCATGCGTATCTTAAAAAAGAATAAATGAAGCAATATTTTCGTGTTGGGGCAAACTAAAATTATTTTTACTTATATTTTTCTCCATAAAAGTAGATTTTTTTAGGTTCTGAAGCCTGTAATTTTCTGAAACCTAATACTTTCAAGAATTGAATAAAATCTGCATGTGTCTTGCAAAAATTCTACTTTTGTCAATTTTCCCGTTTGTCCGTCACGGTGTCTCTTTAATTTGACAAATCCATGTTATTGGAGGTATTGATGTTCAAGTTGACAAAGTTCAACTGTATATGGTTTGGTGCCATTATTAAGAGACGGTAGTATGATATTCTATATACCTTCTAAACCATTATTTCATACCTATAACCTTGTTAGTAATACCCTTGGTATTAGTATCAGTAGTTTGCAGCTTAATTTATCTAGATATTGTTGAACATCTATAGAATTGCCTCTGCAAAAGGTGTGAATTTATCTTCTCAATTGCAACACGGTTTAAGATAATGATGGGAGTACACTCTCATACCGTTCTTCATTTGGAGTCTGCTCTGGGCTGAAATTAAATAGCAGCTTCATTGGAAATAGATGCATTTTCAAACCGGTCTCTCTGGTAATTAGCCATGATAAACACTCTGACCCAGGGCAAACCTTTCAAGGTGTGTAATAAGTTCTGTTGACTATCATAATCGAGAACTCAATAGTTGTATTAGGTTACATTTGCCTTTAATATGAAATTGCACTGTGCAGAGAGTTATAAAGCGTAAACCAGATGCGGCCTTTAACAAGAACAAGGGCATACCTCGGGCAAGGACTAATGAGGGTTAGGTGTTCTTAATGGGGAAGTGATATCGAACTCTATGCAATTGATATGACAGGATATTCATCACTATGTCAATTTGTAAACATTCAATATTTGCCTCGAGAAAATTCTACACGTTTAAGTTAAAAAAAAAAGTCTGGCGAGAAGAGAGAGAGGGGGGGGGGAGAGAGAGAGTCATACTGATATTCAGTTCATCATAACCATAAACCTTTCTTGGCTACTAGTATTGAACATAGAAATATTTCTTCGTAGTTATCGACCTAAAGGTAGAAAAAAAAAATGAAATTTAAAATGAACAATTTATATGTATTACTAGTACTAGGTAAGACAGGCAATATAATAATCTGAGGCAGTGCCAAAGCCTAATCAGCAGCAATAAAATGTATAAAATTACAGCACAACATGAATGACACATTATACTGATGGGATTTAATTGTGCTTGATCTGCACTGCTTCAAGTAAACGTGGGCGTAATTTCAGTATAAGAATCAAGTTCCACTTCATTAAAACTAATGACAACATGCTTTGCATAAATCCTTTTCCCTATACAATCTATAATGTATATTTATGTCACTGGTGTCGTTAATTATTAAATTATAATTTAAAAAAAATGAAAAATGTCCTTCACCTAAAATATAACGGTGACACAAATATAGGACCCACCTCATCAAGTACACGTTAGCTGTAATAATTGCAGTTTCATTGCTGCTTCCAGGAAACAAATCTGAGTATATGAAGATCTGGAATCCGGTTTTGTCTTATGAGGAATCTGGTGTTTTACATTGATTGACTTGGGTTTCACATGGAGAAAGGAAGCGAAGGGTTCTTAAATTGAAATAACAAATCTTCTTAAGGGATCACCAAGGGACATTGTCGGTCTATATTAACTTCATTGTCAACAAGATAACAAGCATTTTTGTCTCATTCAGAATGGAATAACGATGCAGTTTTTTGATAGGATAATGTTCGGAAAATAATGGGTGCTTTTTACTTATTGTTACAACTGTTTTGAACACTTGTTTTCACTAATGGACAACTGCAAAAAAAAAAGACTCTCCCATTTTTGCATATGCCAATTAATGCTTTTAATGTTTGAAACTCCTAGATAAAGTCTGAGCTGTTTATCTCTGTAACAGTTATTTTTCACATGCAGATTATTTTAGGTTGTCTCATTTATACTTATCATTGCAATTGGCAACACTATAGTCTCACACCGGAGCTTGCTTACACCTTATAACTGATGTCATGTTTCCAGCTTTTAATGAATGGAACTTTTGAAATTTCATCGATTTCGAGAATTTCGTTTGTAATGGGAAATAATGTAATATTTTTAACCTTTCCTAGGAAATGGTATCCTTGAAAACACACGATCAAAATTCCTTATTTTCTATAAGCTAATGTCATAAAATTTTATGTGGAGATTTAAAGTACCTCATTACACCAGTTTTTCATGACGTACTTTTGTACAGACTGATACGGTAGTTTCATAAAGGTATTTTATACCAAATATTTGGGTCTCAGTACAATATGGAAAATCTTAGTCCTGTCCTGTTTGATGGAAAACCCGAGGTAATGGTAAAAAATCCGAAGAACTAAAACTTGAACAGCTATCTTTGATTATTTGATCTTGACAAGTCGTTTATAAATTCCATGAACTTTCAGCATGGAATATGCTTATGCTGATATGAATTTTATTTTCTGGAATATTGCTTTCTAGGGTTCCTTGAATTCTGTGTCCAGCTTGAATATTGATGAAGAATTTATTATATAACTTATGTCAAGCTTAAACGAGATAGGGATGATTCATGTATAAATGCCTTTTTGAAAGATTTTGTTTGTAATCAAGAACTTCGAAATTCGATTGCTGTGTTTCTTTTCCGCTAAATTACAGCCACATTACATCAATAACAAGTAAATCGATCTCTCTAATAGTTTAATTTACCGATAAATAGCAAGAAGTTTTAGTAGTTCTTTGATATTAGATCTTTTAGGAATCAATGCGCCAGAAATAAAATCCTAGCTGTGCTGATACACGTTTAAAACAGCGGTTAGAGCAACCAGTGTGCGAGAAATGCTTTGATATTACATTAGTCAGATTGATTTTTATTTCGATTTCTATACGTAAAACAAATACATTTGGGAATAAAATTAAAACATCTCATTTAGATGGATTGCCAACTGTACACAAAATTATTCTAAACATAATGATCGTAATGGTGAATTACTCAAAGTGAGCGATACATGTATTGTTGAGTAAAAGTAAAGTAAAAAAGGAAACTTTCTTAGACAATACACAATTTGGAGACTTTGGAACTTTTTAGTATTATTACACAATCAAAAAAATATACTGCTTGCGCATCATTTACCATTAATCGTCTTTTTCGTAGAATTAAGACCCAATACTTAAGATGAGTAGCCACAAAGCATGAGAGCTAAAATTTCTTATTTACGGACAGTAATTTTTTTTTTAAATCAAAGTATCTTCAACACAAGAATGATAAGAACCCGTTTCTCTGGTATTTTTCTCTTCTGTCGATCTTTGAATAAATACGTCGGTCTGATATTAATCAGAAAGATCTCCAACACTCATTGTTGTCCAAACGCTTCTCATCGCTGGCGGTAATCAGTAATCTGCTCCCAATTTGACCATTTTGCAAAGTCGCATTCAAGTCGGAAAATTCATCTCCTGCCATACTTGAATGGAATTGTTCATTTCATGTCTAGGTTAGCTAACGAGGAAAATCAATCACTGCTATGAGAAGGACAGTGACGTTTGATCGATGGCGGACAGTTATTTACACAACCCTAACCCTTAGTATTACCTCCCTTGATCATCAGACGTCTGCTGTGCGTTTTAGCATTAATGAAAGTGAAATATAAGTTACAAGCGTGTTAAAGTCTGCGCCCTTCTCATCAATATGTTATAGAAATCGTTATGTCATTAATGCTTCCATCGGGAAAACTACTTACGGACAAAAAGTATTAGTTTTATCCCTTACTTACGGACAAAAAGTATTAGTTTTATCCCTTTTTTGGCCATAAAAAGATTTATATTTATTCTGCAAAATGACAAATTTACTTATTCTATTTTCTTTTAAAATCTTTGTTGACAGGTTACACAGGTGTGGTTACTCAGCGACATCTTATGTGATGCCTGGGTAGCCTCTGACGTCATGGCCTCCACTGCCTCCATTTTGAACCTCACAGCAATTAGTGTAGATAGGTAAGTGATTAGACAACTACCACCTGATGTAACGGTAAAGTTTCTTATCGAATTTTGTGTATTGCTTTAAGATATGTAGGACATACTAAATTAAAAATGTACAAAATATGAAGAAAAAAAAATCATTGACTAAGATTTTTTCAGCTCAAGGTCCTGTTCCTCCTTAATTGGTTATCAAGATTTCAAATTAAAAATGGACATTTTTGTTATATTTGTATCCAATTTTTCTGTATACTGTGCTTAATTTTTGCACAAATTACTACAATTCAATGTCTGGCACACTTAAAACAGGAAAATTATCGTTGGCAAGAGTCATCCATGATCAAGAAATAAAATCTTCGAGCGCTTTCCTCCAAAGTCCAACATAAGTGTATCACCGCTTTTGATATACAGGAGAGATACATCCAGGAAGGAAAAGAAAGAAAATGCTTAAAGACTGTATCGAAGATTTGTTAAAAGATTGAAAAAAAAAAAAAACTAAAATGCATAAATTTTGCATACCATTATTGTTCTTGTTTACTGAAAATACCAAAATTAATGCCAATTTTATACAAGTAAATCAAATTCATAATTATTTAAGAATTATGAATTTTTAATTCGTAAAACATTTAAGCATGGACTTGAACGACTTCAACATTCAAAACATGATCAAAATCGTTAACTTTTACAGTAAAATAGTGCTTAATGGCACATCTATGAAAAAACTTTCACTGAGTTTTCTAGCATATTATTAAGCCTTATAGATGAATCTACGTGTAAAATAACTATTAAGGTATACAGGCACCCGAAAAGACAAGACCATCGTAACAAATTAATAATATTATTAAGGTAGACACTCTTTAGACAAGATTAATGTAACGAATTAATAATATTATTAAGGTAGATACTCTTAAGACAAGATTAATGTAACAAATTAATAAGGTAATATCAATGATAAAAAGTGATCTCTATATGATATAAAAATTTGGCCATTTCTTTAAAAATAAATAATATCTTAATAATTACTAAGATTAAAGCAGGCATATCGACTGGAATAGGACAGATTTCCCCATTCTTATTAAATACTTGAATTAAGTTTGTTACGGTGTTAACAAGGCTCACTCTGCTATCTTTCACATCCACAACTTGATTCTGCTCCAATGTAGCGACTAGAACAACCAGGTTAGAGATATCATAATTCACTGTTTGAAGTATAAATATTCATAATTCAAACAGTAAGTAATAATGACTTGAATGAATGATTGATTAATTATCAAAGAAATAGAATGATAACTGTCTCATTTCCCAACGGATGAATTGCCGTACCTTAAAAAGCTTATTCACAAAAAAATCATGTGTCACAATTGACAGAATGTTAACTATTGATCTAAAGGTCATTTATAGCATAGAATTATAGACAAAACTTTATGCAAATCGGCTCATGTTACCCTTCATGTTCCGTTTTTCTGAGTTTGGTTAGAGTTAACTGCTTTTTAAATATTGATTTAAAAGAATATTTGATTAAAAATGTATAAGAACCCTTTAGTTTTATCATTATAACACAACAAAAAAGTACGTTAATAATTCTCTTTTCATTTTACATGTTCAATACAATCTGTTTTAATTACCACTACTCCTTTATAGTCTCTTTCAACAGTGTTCCTGCAATGAATTATTTTATTTTATTTTTTTACTTTAAGTTTTGCAGAATGAAGCATAAAGATATTCTCAACATGCACTATAACGACGCAAAATGTATTTAACGAAGACATATATTTTGCATCAGCACACTTTGCTATGATCTCGACGCGAAATATATTGACTGATTGATTGTATGCTGTTTTACGTCCCATTCGAGAATTTTTCACTCATATAGAGATGTCACCATATACCGGTGAAGGGCTTCAAATTTTGACCTTTACTCGGCACTTACGGCCATTTAGCAGTGAGGGATCTTTATCGTGCCAACGCCTGCCGTGACACGGGGCCTCGGTTTTTAAGGTCTCATCCGAAGGACCCGCAACTTTCACTTCAAAGTGCCGAGCGCATGGCGAAGGAACAGTTGCTACCCATTTTTTATCGACTTAGTTCAGTCACGGCCGAGATTCGAACTCACGACCTCCCGATCACGGAGCGAGCGCTCTACCGACAGAACTACCGTGAACGGTCTACACGAAATATAAATACAATGTACACAATCTGTGAAAATCTAATTTTGGAGTCAAATATCAATATCAATATATATATATATATATATATATATATATATATATATATATATATATATATATATATAGCAATAAGCAATTCTAAAAAAAATGTCAATATAAATCATTCCTAAACAGCAATAAGTAAGAACTACTACAATTTATATTAATACAAGGCTTTATTCATCAAATATGGAGATAACGAACAAAGTCCATTGAAACAATACAAATCGGGAGCAGAGCGAATACGGACCCCAAAATCATAAGAGGTGGAATCAGGTGCCATGGAGGAGTAAACATCCCTTGCTCGCCGGTCACATCCGCTGTATGCTCCTTGTCATGATCGGGGAAATGGAAAAATTCATAGACAATGCAATGTGTAAATAATGGCCTAACAATTAGTATGAAAAACGTCAGTCAGCATTCGACTTAATGATAGATTGTATTTGCTGACAAGGTCATTGTATCGACCAAAGAGCTTGCGAATTGATGACTTCAAATGAGACTGTTGATATTCTTGTTTCATCAATTTGTTTGTCAATGGCCTGCCTCGTTTTAGAAATTACTCGTACGTAGAGCATGCTCTTACGTATCGAATCAACTGGGAGACATAAACCCCATATGCAGGTGATAAGGTTATATTGCTACATAAGTAAGGGAAGTTGACGAAGGAAAAGTTGAAGTCCTCACGTTTATCATAAAGTTTTGTTGTTTGGTTACCTTTGACATCTTTTTCTAGTTAAATATCCAAATATAAAACAGATGTGTTAAACTCTGTCGTATCTTTTATTTCAAGTTCAGTGGGCTATATCGAGTCGACATATGAATGGAAGCAACTATTGTTAATTGATAATACGTCGTCGATATATCTAAATGTCGAGTGGAAGGCCAAAGCAAGTGTTTTCTTCTTCTCTTGGATGTTTTTGAAGGTCTGCTAAGAACGGGGTGCAATTGGTACTCATGGGAATTCCGGCAGATTGTTTGAAGATCTGATCTCTAAAAACTACATAGATATTGTCAATCAGAAACTAAAACATCTTTTTAATACCAATTTCAAAGTACTTGTGTGTATAGTTAGAATGTTTGTTTACAAAATAATTTTGCAAATGACCTATGACAAGGTATGTAAATTTACGAGTTCCATTTTGTATTGAAAAAGCAGCTGTCTATGATGTCAAAAAGCCTGGATTTTAATTTATCGTGGGAAATGGTTGCATAGTGTTAAAAAGTCGTACGTTTTGATGCTTTTCATTTTAGTAAAATTTTGTAATTTCAAATTTTCTAAAAGTTCCTTGGAGTTTCTAAATGTCCACATCTGATTTACACCACTTCTCGAATAAATTGTTATACAGTACTCCTAAAGTTTCTCCTTCACTGCTGGTAATATTTTAGTTTGGAGTAAAGAAAGAGGCTTGGTAGAACATTTACTGGAACCCGCTATGTATCTTTGTTCGTAAGGATTTTTATGAAGTTTAGGAATCCAGTATATGTATGATAATTCAAATTCATATTGATTGTTAGGAGTATGAAAATATTTAAAACTGACCAATGATTTTGAAGAACTTCCTCCTAAGAAAGGAAGCTGTTGGTAAGAATTAAATCCCAGTTCCTCTAAAATACAATTAAAACAATGAGCATTACAAACAGATAATATTGTAATCTGCTTTGTCAGCTAGGACCAGTACATACTGATCCTGTAAACTATCTAGTTCTTTTTTCACTTCTGAATTATTGAACACAGAAGGATAGATGGTTTTCATATTGCCCCTCAATCGCTTACTGCGAGATTTTAACATCTTATACTTTTAATCCATTCTGACCAAGTGTCAATTCTTCTTTTTCATGTCAAGTCTTCTTTTTCATGTTTTGCCCATCGCCTGGCGTAACCTTCCACATAATTCAAAATATTTATGAAATTATAACGCCAGTTGAAAGATCGGGGTTCCCAACATTTTTGCCCTTTTAAAATAAGTGATTTAAGGTCCTCATTATAAACTCTGTTTAGGTTACCAGTGATGACGGGTCCAGCAGGACTATATTTGTAGGGTAAAGAAAAAATTAACATGGACACGTTGGAGGATTATGTTTCAGATGTTCGATATCTAGGCACTATAGGTTTTTTGTAATTAAAAGGCTTGGAAGCAATTGTCGATGTATATATGTAAGAAATACAAGGTGTGGACCTCAACTCTTAATATATATTGGAATACAAAACAGGACCCTTTTGTGATTAAGAATATTACTGTTTTAACTCCCTCAATTCCTTTATTGGCATATTGAAGTTTAAGGAATAAACGGGTTGTTTGAGCAGTATTTTCTTCCGTGAAACTTGGCGGTTTAAAAAGCCTATGATTTGCAATATCCATAATCACAGATCCGAGCCTGTATTCTGGTGTCAAAAGATCCAAATATGGACTTCCCTTAACCTTTTCAAGTAAACTATTTAAAACTCTCAAAGCAACAGAGTAAAGTTTGGTGCGAATGTGATGAAGACCTAACTGTTTATTTACATAAGGTAGTAGAGAGTCATACCAATTTATTTTGAAAGTAAAAACAATCAACAATTATAAACATGAAATATTCAAGAACATTCCATTTAATCAAAATCATAGTAATGATCATACCAAGATAATTACGTTCTTTGATATTACATTCTGCATCGAGATCAGCGCAACATGTATATAACATATGCATTTTAATATTCTAAATGCGTCGTTGCTGTTTGCAACATTTTGAGTCTTTGTCACACTTTGCGTTGTTGCTACATGTATGTAGGGTTACCCTAAATAGAACACAAGCAAATATATGTAGCGTATATATTCCACATGAAAATATCCATTAAACAGAGTACAAAAAGGGATCGCCAAAATTCTTCCGCATGAATTTCCTGTTCTTGAATTCATTTTTTGATGTATATAAGTAAGCTTTTAATAAGAGGTTTTACTGGTTACTACCAATTTTAGATTATTGGACTTGATATCGTTTATGGGTATGTCTTTAAATTTTTGAGTAGATTAAAGATTCTAGTTCAATAATCAATTTGCTATATGAATTGATTTATTTTTTATTCATTATCCAAGAATAACAATAATGTTCAGCATGAGGATTCTTTGAGAGATTTGACCATATTTTGTATGCAAGTCTCTTGTCTTCAACATATTTTTTTTTAATTTTGTATATGATTCTATATGTTTGCATATCTCTCATTTATTGGATGTTTCTTATATTTTCTATCAGAAATTCTGACCTAATGTAGAAAAGGTGTAATCACAAGATCTTTATATGTATACATTTAGCCCAATGGCAAATAGGATTTCATTTTAATACCTTAAGGAATCCAAACACATAAAAAGTAGTCATTTTGAAGAATTTAGCCACTTTCACACGAAAACACATGACTAATTAGGCAATTCTTTAAAAAGAAGAAATACGACCCTAGTGCATGAAAGTTGAATTTCGTGCTAAAGTGAATTAAAGCTAGTAAGGCAAAACAAAGGAAGGGAAAAGAGAATTTACGTTTTATTTTTGAAGTGATGCTAAATCTTTCGTTAAAGGATTGTTTTGCTGTTCGTTGATTAAGGAGATCGTCAGAACGGTTGAATATTTTGCGGGGTTTTTTTTCTTACATGAACGAAAGCAGTTAGATGTAAGATTACTGTTTATTGCACAAAAAATAGGAAGAAAATAGTCATAACGCCCACTCTGTCATGTTGTATCCTTTAGTTCGAAACCAATAATAACATCACAAGTAAAAATTAATAATAATTAAAGAGAATCTTTAGATTGATAAAAAAGTCAAATAAATATATTTCAGCTCCTAGTACATTGATGTTGCTAGATCATTAAAACGTACAAAGATAACTGTATAGTCTCTATCCTTCTCTCCCTTCTTCCTTAGTTCTCACATTGTCTTTTTATACCTCGTAAGCACCCCCTCTCATCAAAACCGCCCTTACTTTATCCTATTCCTATTTCCAGAAAAAAAATCTCCAAAGTTGTGACTTTCGATGTTAAAAAAAGAAAGAAATTCAATATAAAACAGAAAAGAATAAGAGATGTAGAGAAAAATGTCTTGAAACTATTTATTTTGAGCACAAAAGTAAGACATCTTCTAAGGCAATATTTTATTTTTTCAGATTTATTGCTGTTACTCAGCCCATAAAGTATTCTAAACACAAGAATTCTAAACGTGTGTTTGTGACTCTAGCTTTGACTTGGATCATATCTCTGGCGATCGCAGCCCCCATTGCTCTAGGAGTCAACTACTCCGCCCACAGGAAAGAGGGAATGTGTGCTTTTTTCAACTCAGATTTTCTTATTTACTCTTCAATGGGATCGTTTTACATTCCTTCCATTATCATGATATGCCTGTACTGGAGAATATACCGTGTGCTGCATTTACGGGCTCAACATGCCATTAAGTCCAAAAAAGCCAAAAATTTAAAACTCAAAAACGAAGCAAATGTGATAGAAAATTCAGCAACTGTGAACGCAGGTCGCGCAGAGCCATCTGCTACAACACAGTTAAATGTTGCTATAGACAACGGTAAAATATCAACATATAATACTAATAAATGTTCGAATCAGTTATCCATGCAAATAAACGAGGAACCCTCTGTAAACGTAAATTCCGATTCTAGTGACAGGTATAATGAAGACGGAAGTGTTCTAAAGAGCCCCGGAAGTGACGATGGAGAGGACGATGGAGTCGTTGGTGCGTTAATAGTTAATCCAGTTGCAGTACGCCATGTTGAAATTCAACTTGACGGGAACGGAAATGGAACATGCGTGGCTGAAACGCAAACAGACAGTGAGACCAAATTTAGTGAAATTAACGAAGTTAAATCAAGAGTTAAACTTGTTAATGATGAAGCATGCACATTAAATTCAAAAGCTCGCAAATCAAATCCCCAGAGACGAAAAGATAAACGTGGAGTGGCCAAATTTAATTTCCACATGCGCAGTAGCCGGAAACGGAAAGAAAAATCTTCCAATCGTAAAGAACGCAAAGCAACCAAAACGCTTGCAATAGTCTTAGGTAGGTATCTTAATGTTCTGGCATAATTTTTGCCACCATCTAATGAAAATGATCTAGATACCACTTCAAACTCGTTACCATATAGGTATCTGATATCATGGTGTTTAAATTGTTCATGCTTGCCCTGGCACTTCTAATAAAAACAAAATATATAAATAAACAATTTCCCAAAAGTAAATAAACGATTAACCAGACAATCCAAACAAAATGCCTTTGATACTCTTAAGCACGATATGTAGCGCACTTTGCGTATAAACATGGGAGCCCATATCGTAACTCAACGGCGTCATAACACAGCAATATATGAATTGACATCCATAAAACACAATTATTTTCTTGTATAATCAAAGTTAATGGCTAATTTGAAAATGCATCAAATAATTAGAATTTTTCTTTTTACTGGTGCGTTTAATATCTAATAAAAAATGTTCTACTCAGAAGTAGTTGTGCAAATTTCCTCACAGAATCCAATAAAGAAGGTCTTTGCACTTAATTACAAGACTTTTCCTCGTATAATTAAATATTGTCTGCACTTTTGTGCATTGCGTTAATTGAGAAGCAATTGCATAACATCAGAGGATAAGTGTTTTTATCTCGGTTTTATATAACAGCTATTGTTAATTGCATGTAATGCTAGTAAATTCAAACATAATAATATCTAAGTCTAATTAAAAACTAAAAAGGGATTGCTTTGGGATATTTTTCTTTTAAACATTAACCCATCATGCATGTTTTTGAAAAGGTTTATATTCTGAAAGTTACCCTGCTCAATCAGGAAAAAAAATATGATTGTTTTAATATTATCAAATAGATAAATTAATGGAACTAGGACTAATTGCATGTAACAATCCTTTTAACTCAATAAAGTTACTTTTCCCCTCATTTCTTTCCACTTTGAAGGTAAAATATGAAAGTCTGTAGTGGTTTGTTAGTTATGTACTGTTAGGTGTTACTGGAATACCTGGGTCGATATTTACATCTTCATATAAAACAAGAGATATTTATTTTTCCAAAGGCAATTTTATATCTTTAAGGCCCATGTTCAAAACTCTCAGATGGATGTCAGATCTGGATGTCAGGCTCCGGAGCCATAAAACTTAGATGAGCTCACTTTTGATCTCAGTCTCACTTTTATAATAGGAATATATAGTGGAAAAGTGAGATTGAGATCAACAGTGAGCTCATCTAAGTTTTATGGCCCCTGAGCCAGGTCTCAAGAAATTAAACTGAGAACAGATTAATTAGTTGAACTTCTAAAATTATCTTGAAAGTAAAACATATTTCATAATATGTTTGTATAAGAATATTATAAACAAACTTGCAACTTTATTAGTGTGTTTATTAAATAAAATCAAGATGTTGAAATAAATTTGGATTTCTCTGTCATCAGTTTATGGTCTTGGAGCCTTAAGGTCGACATCGTAGGTCTTCAGATTTACCGAAATATTGATAGCCAGATCCAATTATGTCTCCCAAAAGGGAGATACACTGATTTTTGTATGGTTATCTGTCTGTTACCAAAACTTATGTTTAAAATTTAAAATGATGTTGCCAATGACCTTAAAGTGTGTATATAACTTTACTCAAGGTCAGATCATAAAGTTCTGTTAATTTTCTCAATCTACAGTTTATAAAATTAGGTATCAGATCAGCGTGACCTCGTGGTAAAATTTGTAGGTATTCATATGTAAGTAAGTACAACATTAATTCCAAGTTTATTTTCAAGGCCTGTAGTTAATTTCCAACTCTTGCTATAGAGATACCGATTTTTCCTCGGCTTCAATATTGATCATTTTGAAAGAGTCGTAATTATTTTCTTCTACTTTATTGCCTACATAGAAACATGTCTCTGAAAATTATACAATAAGCTTCAATTTACACCTTATATTTGTAGGATATTTTTGAGACTTTCAGGTTCTGCATCTTCAATGCATGCTCAGCTCTTCAATTAAAAAAGAAGTGACTTATTGAGAAAGCGGAATTTATTGCATTTTAATTTCATGAAACTATTCATAATGTCGGGATTTTTTGTATGAACTTTCTATAATTACTGAATAAGCTTTAAAGAGTATATTCAAGATATCATACAATCTTTCTAATTTTTTTTATGCATTTGATATCGAGGTTAAGTGGCATATTGTTTTTGGCTTAACTGTCTACAATATAACCTTGCTCGAATGCTTTTAAGTAAGCACTAATTTAGGAGAAGAGGCATGTCACAAACCTTATCCAAGATCATTTAGTTTAAGATTCTTACTTTAAACATATTTTATTGAATAATTCAATAAGGATTGGGAAACAAGCAAAGCCTATGCACACCCTCTCCTTGTATAATAGGTCAAGACAAAGTCAATAATAATGATACTTGTACATGATAATAAACATGCTAATAATAAAAAAAATAAAGATTCATAATCAAGTATTATTCATCAGTATTATATTAAAAAAAAAGATAATGACCCCCTAAATGTAAACAAATTATTTACATAATGTTCCAGCATTAATATAAATATAATTGTAAAAAACATATAAGTATTGAGAGAGCAATTACCGAAAATTTCAGGATAGATTTGCAACAATAAATAAGTCACAGTATGGTCCTGTTTACTTAGTTTAAGATTCTTGAGATTGTCCTCAACTTTGTTTTAACAATAAAATGCTTTCTTTGGTTGTTAATATGGGAATTAATGTTAATTTCCATATACTAACAAAGAAAGAAAGACATTTTATCCGTTTATATTTATATCTGTATAAATAATCATATAAAATAGGAATATTGTATTACTGTAAACCAGCTATTATTCGCGTCACATTTTATTCGCGATTAGTCCGTTTAAAATCAATCCACGATTATAAATTTTCGCGACTTGGGAAACATTCTCTACAAATACACCACAAAATAAATGTGAGTTAAAGTAGGTCGCGAAACTCGCGGATATTTCTCGCACGCGAATAAAAGTTGGTTTGCAGTATTGATATGTATGTCGTTGTATGTTTCATTGCTGGTGACTTGCTTAGCGGCGTTTACGTATTGATAAACAACCATGGTTTTCACAAGAAATAAAGGAGTTAATATCCATTGGATGTAATATAGAGGAATTCATACATTTGAGGCCCTCACAAAAATAGGTTATAATCAAAAGAAATGTGTAATGACCCTGACCTATTGTCATTTGGACAAGTTCAGGGTTTACTTATAAGAATTGGAAGTGATCTTTTACTTAATTATGAAGAAACTTTAGGATTTTTTTAATATAGAGTAAGTTATGATCAAAAGATATGTACGAGCCCTGAACCAAGGTTACATAATCAAGGCCACGGCCATCTTCCTCACTACAACTAATACAAGCTAGAAGGCCTTTCGTTTTGATGACCAACAGAATTTTTCTCATTTTTGTCTAAAATTCATTTCGAAATTTACCAATTTTAAATTGCATACTTAAACATGTAATGCATGTGCGTATATTCTTGTTAATTAGCGACAGTCTAATAATCATTAATGCAATACATTACATTACATATTGGCTTTGACTTAACATTTTGTACTGGCGTCTCTTCCGGAAGAGACGTTAGTACAAAATATTTAGTGTCGACGAATCTTGCTGACATTAGCTTTGTCTTGAACAGGCTAAAAATTATATTTAGACCATAGCCATGCTACATGTATAAATATCATCTCCCGTCTGTTTTGAGTTTTGACCACAATGAAAGATAAGTAGAATTTTTCAATAATACCTTAGACAATCTTGAACATAGACAGTCCTGTCTTGGTTTGGCACCCTTTTCGATTATACTGCGAAAAATGGCAGTTTTATCACTGGCGCTATCTCTCTAATAGACAGAACTATACTGGAATCATTTTTCTTCCGTCACTAATGTATATTTCTTCTATTCTGGGGGTTAATAAGCACTTCCGCTAGACTCCGAGACGTGACATCAAATAGAACGAATCTAATTTCAATATACATGAGCAATCCCTTTACTGCATTAACTATACGTGAGCTTTTCTTTTGAAGAACATATTACATTTTCCCTATAAACTCCTCGATTTGGTTTTACAAACAATTCATTTTCATGCCTATACGGTACAATGATTTTCTTCTGAAAGAATTCTTATTATTTTCTTTCATATTTCACATACATGTATGCTTTACTTGTGACAAGTCCTTTGAGAATGCACTGATTTTTTGTATCTCATGATCTTGAAGTTTTACCTACTTTTTCAACAAAAGAAAATTACTCTGGTAATAACTTTTGAATGAGAGAAGATACAGCTTTCATATTTTTTTCCTATATGCTTTACCTGTGACAAGACCTTTCCAAATGTACTAATTTTTTTCACTTCTTGGCCTTGAAGTTTGAACTCCTTTCACATTTCACAAAAAAAAAATGACTTTATCTGTAGCTTTTGCAGCAGAAGAGAAAAGGCTTTCATAGTACTTTACACATGTGCATAACCTGTGACTTAATCTTTCAGAATGTATTTTATTTACCTCATGACCTAGACCTCAAAGATTGACTTTCAAAAGCTTTAATCTTGATCGTAGCCTTTGCACCAGAACATACTACTTCAAAAATATAATCTTTTTTGCATGATGAGACAGGCAGCACAGACAAGGCAGTTATAATATGCTATAGATCACTGCACCCAAACCAATAAGTCCCAAAAGGCGGGGGACCGCATTTTTTTTCTATTCGTTGTTTTTGTTTTCTTTTTCTTACTCAAATCTTCTGTAACGAATACTTCATATGTATTTTCTGCTCCTTTACGCTTATAGGTAAAATGTACGATGATACATAAATTAGGAGCATTTCACAAAGCAGTATATGTATATTAGATATAAACACAAACATGCAGTATTATTCTGTCTTAAATAAAAATACCTAAATGGTCATCTAAGTTTCTCTGTAAAATACCACAGATTAGGTATTTATGATAGAATTTCAGCTATCTAAATAGCTGTATCGATTGAAGTTTAAAAATTAGGGGATTAGTTTTATAGGGGTCCTGCATTCTGGATATATCTGTTCTTGTATCATTATATAAATCCAAAAATGCACATGCACTATTTATTTCACAAGAATTCCTTTAAAATTGACTACAGGATACGGAGTCTCTTCTTAAGCTGTCCAGCTTAATTACTAAAGCAATTTCTCACTCTATTGAATTCTGTCAAGCTTCATCAAAACCTACCCAATGACCTCATAAATACTCAATCTTTTATATAAATCTCATTTCCGTAATCCTTGTTAGAAAACAAAATGTTCCATTTTGATGATTTTATCAAATTTTTCAGGACCATTCAACCATTGTATCTTACATGTAATAGAATAAAGTTAGGTTCATGGCCATACTAGTACTTTAGGACAAAGTGTGTTTTTGCTCAAAACGAGATGATTCTGTGATCCTGAAATGGATGTTGTTTTTGTCGTAATTTTTAAATGTATGTGTCACATTCTATGAAATCAATTCCTGTTCAATCAACTTTTTTTAAAAAATCATTCTTAAACTGAATGCATACAATAACCATGTATGTAAACACGATATATAAAAAGCAAAGAAAAAAATCCATTAAAAGCAAGTTAAAGAAATTGCTTGTAGTTGTGTGCAATTGTCTTAAGATATTTTGCGTCTTCAACAGATCACGTCCTTCGTTCCATTTCTTTACGAAATATAATGTTGGTAATTAACCAGTTACGAACTTGGCACTTCTCTGTATTTATTCTGATTTTGTCTTGTAGTCAGCCTTGTTCAATTTCCGTCTTTTCTGGAAATGTACAAGAAATAGTCGATTTAGCGATAAAACAGTACTTATTTACGTGAAAGCTTGCTGTAAATGAAGCCATTGAACCTGTGAAGTTCTGAATGTCTCCTAGTTGCCTCAGTATTTCTTATTTTGAGGTTTAGAATGATAGATAATTGAAAATGATAGACTTACAGGCATGTATTAGTTAAGATTCTATGATACCCATGACAGATCCAATTGGCTTCCTATGTTTGATAAAGTTGTCACCAGAAACACATTTCCACATATTTTTTGGACGCACTATGTTTTAGTTTTACATACTTGTATATATATAGTGAATATTGGATATATTTCATTGCCATTGAAGGTCTGTTTTCCAAGCAGACTGAATTAATGTCTTCACTGTGTAATCCAAATCGCAGTATGTGGATTTGAATGAAGAATGTATTGAAAAATACTACTTTTTATAACAATAGATACGTATATTTAAAGCTCTCTATGAAATAAATCTTATTGACTAAACGGGCCTTAAAATGTTTTTTTTATGTTAAGTTTCGATGCATTTTCTCGTCTCCATCAATTTATCCACATGCTTCAGTAAAGTCGTCCATAACAGAACGACATACAATGTAGTGTAGACTTGTAAATTTATTTATGAGATTTTATTGATTAAGGAAGTAGTTGTATTACTAATGATTATTTTTATTTTCATTATGTTGTAATTTTTTGTTATTGTTACAATACATAGTACAGACTCGATGTATTTATGATAAACGCTTGCAGGATCAATGAATAATAAATACCGTAACTGTACTTAGAAAGAGAGAAATGTTAAAGATGACTTTTTTCATGTCTGACTGTTTAATGTTATATTTACATTCACTGAATATTTCCTCATTTATTACTAATGAAAGTCATTTCCTTTAATCTGTCCATTAACGCTTGACTAATTAAAACCAGTTTTACAAGGCCATCTATATAAAAGATTTCTTAAGGAGTGGGCTCTTCCATCAATGAAACATACCATGGCATACAGATCAACAATACAATATTTCACGTGCTTAAACCTACACCATAGATTTTTAAACAATAAAATGTCTTTCTTTCTTTGTTCATGCTGGTTAATGGTTGCAACCATTGCAGGACAGTTGCCTGAGTGTGAAAGGGTAGTAATAAATAATTGGGTCAAATTATTAAAATTATATATAAAAAGGGCAAAAATATATATGAAAGTTTATTGTGATACATACAATGCTCTCTTTTCTAGGAGTGTTCTTATTCTGTTGGGTGCCATTTTTTACCTTAAACATCATCAACGCCATTTGTTTGCGATATGACGCAATAACTACGAACTCGGTGTGTCAATTTGACCTCATGCTCTTCAGCCTCTTCACGTGGTTAGGATACATCAACAGCTTTCTCAACCCGGTTATTTATACAATTTTCAACCCAGAGTTCCGAAAGGCGTTTAAAAGGATTCTTACTGAAGGATGTCGATGCTGACATTCTGCGGGATTAAGCGTGAGTTCATAGTATTACAAGACGACAATAGATGCCAGTTTAAGACAGCGGTTAATTTGTGTTCACTGAACTCTTTATCAGTTATACTACTTTGCCTTTTATAATTTAATACTCTTATTATTTATTCATTATAATGCATCGTTATCCTTAACATCTCCTCTACTTTGTCCTTGTTATATTAAACTAACAATTATTATTTAGGATTTTGTTCACTGTATTACAATTATATTACCATAAATGCACATATTTATCGTTACAGCGCGCATGCCTAGCTTGAAGTAGAGAACCAATGGAATTCATGTCCAGTTCATATCATTTCAGTTGTGCAATGATTTTATATTGTCTAATTATAAGCCGATGCTTGGCTTATTGTTATGTACAAATGTATGTATACACATTTGACATGTGAATTAAATTATTAAAAAATCTATAGAATGATAAATTTTGTATTTCGTTTTTACCATCTGAAATAAGGTCTTTGATTCTCTAGACCTAAAATTGTTCAATTTAATTTCTTCATACTTCAAGGTTGTGGTTTATTAGCCCCTGTCCTTAACAATTCTTTGGATTTTTTTTAATATAGGCAATCATATATCATTGGTAAGTAATAATGAAAAGTTTTTGATGTATTGGCAAACTTATCTAAAAACAAAAAAGAATTGTACAGGAAAAGTTCACAAAGAGACCATATCTTACTAATTATTGCAAAAATAAATGATATATTTGATCTATTATGGTAGTCTTATTAATCTTATTAAAGAATGCTACCATGAAGTGAAATATATGAAGCTAATGAACAGTATTCAAGCTCAAAAGTCCATTCAAACATACAGATCAGGAGCAGAGCAAACACGGACCTCTAAAACATCAGAGGTGGGATCAGGTGCCATGTCATACTTTAATGATTTTGATCACTTAGGCAAAGATCGCATGGTCCACCAATTTATCCAAAGAAGAACGTCATGGACAAACGGGTATGTAGATACTTGTGACTGGATAAATTTATTTATAAAGATGTTACAAAATATCTGATTATGCCAACCTTGTTAAAGAATACAGTTAAAAAATTCGAAGCAAGAATCATGATAAAATTTATGCAGCAATATACCCTTATCATCTGCATATGGGGTGTATATCTCTCAGTTGATTCGATACGCAAGAGCATGCTCTACGTATGAACAATTTCTAAAACGAGGTTAATTATTGACAAGCAAGTTGATGAAACAAGAATATTAACAGTCTCTGTTAAAGTTGTCATTTCGTAAGTTCTATGGTTGATACAATGACCTTGTCAGCAAATACAATCTATCATTAAGTCTTATGCTGATTTACGTTTTTCATACTAATTGTTAGGCCATTATTTACATACTTTTTTTCCTTTATTTCCTGATTATGACATGGTGCACACGGCGGGTATGACCGGTTGACAGGGGATGCTCACTCCTTCATGGCACCTGATCCCACCTCTGATGCTTTTAGAGGTCTGTGTTAGCTCTGCTCCTGATTTGTATTGTTTTAATGGACTTTAAGCTTGAATACTGTTCATTATCTTCATATTTCTTTGTCAATCAAAGTAAACATGAACAAATAAACCATTCCGTCTGTCATTAAAACATGGAGAAAAATATTCTTTAATTTTTCTACTGTTGAAATAATGATAGGAATGCTTAAAAAAATATTTATTTCTATTCCCAAGGCGACTAACTAGTAAAAATGTACTTACAAAAAATGTAAGGATTTTCCTACTCCGTACAGAAAAGGCAAACTCGGTAATAAATAAGAGAAAGCTAATGATTTTTAAGTACGTGCAATGAAAAGTTTATGGGATTTTTTTCTTTTCTACAGTTCGCCAATATAAATGAATAGATCGCCATTTAATTTTTTTTTTTTTTTTGATATTCTTGAAAGTAAGAATTTGACTTTGTAAATCACATTATTTTAACCTTGGTGATTAAGTAAGAAGGGGAAAATAAAATCTTTTTTTTTTTGGCGAATAACACCAGCAACAACGAGATCAACTATTGTCTCGAGGGAATAGTAACATTGTTGTACGTGAAATATGGAGAAAACGAACAGTATTCAAGCTCATATAAGTCCATTCAAACAATACAAATCAAGAGCAGAGCAAACACGGATATCTAAAACATCAGAGGTGGGATCAGGTGCCATGAAAGATTCCCTGCCGACCGGTCACACCCGCCGTGTACTCCTTGCCATGACCTGGAGAAAAAAAAACGGAAAAAATCTGTAGACAATTCAGTTTGTAAAAAGGGGCCTCGCTTGAAAATTTCTTCACTGAAATGGTGCTTTTATTAAACGATCGTTATTAAATCATAGGTACCTTAACGAAAAATAAATTCATAAAAATTGCAATCAAATAGAATTTATTGCTAAAGATTACCCCATAAATTACTAAACTGCCTCATGATATGGAAGTGAAAAAAACACCTTTGATTCGTTCTTAGATAAGTCCAGCCCCCCCCCCCCCCAACCCCAAAGCTTCTATCTTATCGGTATTTATCCCATTGAGATTCGTCATTATATATGATAACCATATTTCATTAATCTTATCATAGGCTCATAAATGTATTTCCATTTTGAAAACAATTTAGAATTTGCTCCAATAAATTTAAGAATATAAAGTATATATATAATGCCAGTTAAGTATATTTTAAATAACAAAAGTGATACCAGGAAAGGGCATAAGTCATTATTATTATTATTATTATCATTTGGTTGTGCAAATACCTGTTCACGCCTTTTACTGCACATATATAATGATATTATATTCTTTATATTGTACTTTTTATATTGTACTTTACTTTTGCAAAGTTATATGGTCTACATGTAATATACTGAGTATATCAAAATGTATTCAAGTATAAATTCCGACTGCATTACTGAGCTTGGTATATAACTTGATTTGATACGGAACATGATTGACTTAACTTTGAAAACACCAATATTATAACACTAACAAAGATGTACAAATTTCTGAAGTTAAGACTTTTTTTTGTAAAACTTGGAATTAATATATACAAGCATTATGCTTTTTTGGATACTTAACACAATATGTCTCTTCATTTTTAATTTTTTAAAAAATAGTTTAAATCTTTTTTTTACATCGCTATAAATTGACTCAAGCATCATAGTTCCACGGAAGAATTTGATATTTTGAGTCACGTATATGTATATAAAAATGATCATCATGCCACGAAGAAAGAAATATTCATTGTCTAAAATAACCGTCTACAACATATATATATATATATATATATATATATATATATATATATATATATATATATATATATATATATATATATATATATATATATATATATATATAAGGTTAAGATAACAAAACAGTAATCAATTTCATAAACCCTGTAAAAGAAGCATTTTAAAGTCTTTCATAAACGTCTGATATAAAACTTTGAATCCTACTTAATTAGCTAAAATGATATTTCGTCTGATATAAAACCTTGGGTCCTTCTTAATTAACTACAATTAAACTAACAACGTCTAATTTAAGACCTGGAATATTACTTAATTAACTTGAGCAATAATATTACATCTGATATAAAATCTGGAATCATATTTTATTAACTACTATTTGTCTATAAATGTAAATGAAAGTAAATAATAAATAGTGATTCACTGTGATTTCTTTGTACTCTTCTTTTTTTCATTGTCCTACGAGTTGCATTATACGTAGATAAATTAAGTTGTCTAATTTCAAGACAAACATATTTCAGGGTTAAGGAATAGTTCAGCAAACAGATTTTGCGATTTTTCTCGCTTGGCATTGCGATTTATGTTTGAATGGAATTGTACTTAATTTTTGTACAGTTATATAAAAAATGCATTCGAGAGTAACTTCAAATAAGCTGGACGTGCTATTTGGTATTGTTTTAAATACGAATGATTTGAACTTTGAAAACACTTTAACATAATAACATTTCCAAAGATGAAAAAATTACATACGAATTTCAGATAAACCCTAGGGTTTGTCTAGAGGAACGATATCACAAAATCTCGATATTGTGAAGATGAATTTAGTTTGGCAATTATGTTATTGATGGTTTATTCTCACTCCCTTTTTTATTTAGTTAAGGGCTTTTATAGACCACTATCTCAGAGGGAAAATTGGGCATCGTACTTCTAGGAAAGAATGCAAAAAAAAAAAAAAAAAAAAACCAAACAAAAAAAAACCCAACAACAACAACAATGAAACAAAATGAAAGAAGCAGAAGAAGAAAACAAAGTAGTACATGTATTGCAAATTTAAAATAGCTCTTTTATCCAGGTTTAATTTATTTAAGTCTGTTCAAGCCATAAAAGATATAGTACTTCTGTTTTTTTAAAGAAGTATTAAAGAATCTAACATTAGAACATATATATATAGAGAGAGAGAGAGAGAGAGAGAGAGAGAGAGCACTAAAAAAGAAAAACTGTATATCTTAAGTGTCAGATCTACTAAGTAGATACAAGGTCACGGATGGAAATTTATTTAAAGCACTACAAATGACCAACGACATGAACAATAAAAATTGTCAAATTTTCGGGATAACCTGTCCCTTCCTCAGGACAAGGAAAAAAGTTAAGAAGTCATAAAACAAAGGAAACAGAGAAACAAAAACCACTAGCACTACTACTAAACTACCAAACACTATATATTTACAGTGTTACATTTTTAAACAGTTATGAAGAAAGAACTCCGGAGTGCTATGAATTGCGTCCGGTCTATCGGGTGTACTCTGGTGAATTGCGATTTACATAATTTAACAAATTAATTATCGCTAATTAATGATGACCAAGTAATAAATCGTACAATGTCCATATGAATTTGGATGTATTATAAATTTGGAAATCGGGCCTCCGCCATGTACGTCTCTTTATCAAGTACTACAACTGTAGAGTCTTTGCCTGCTTTCTTACAAACTCCTGACGTCTGTCCAGTGCTCAATAAATCTAGTGTTCCTCTCTCCGAATCGGAGACCTCACTTCTTTCCAAGGGGCTGAATTTCTGCCCAACGCCACATGAGGTCGACGAAAAACAAGTCAGAGAGTACACCCGAGCATTCTTTCGGAGACTTCAGTTGAAGAAGCACTTCTCGAGAAAAAGACTCCGAAGTTGATCCATATGACTCTTCTCAGCTACAATTGCACGACCTAGAGAAACACAAACTATCGGCCCAAAAGTGACTGGCAACCTGCATCGAGCAAATGCGGAGCCCTTGAGTCGTATATTGACGCCGTTGAAACAGACATTGAGAAACTCCTTTCAATGCCAGACAAGGCTCCCGACAATTTGTGTAAGGAAGAGAGATCGGCCTTACAATCATTAAAGAATCGGGATGACATTGTAATCAAGAAAGCAGACAAAGGCTCTACAGTAATAGTACTTGATAAAGA